TTTTCTCCTTCAAATATTTTCTATTTTCAAGATTGGAATCTGGAGAGATTAAAAGTATCCTGCTCTAATTTCTAATCAGCTTCCATTATGAAGCTTAGGAAAACCACCTAATGACACCCGTCCATAGAAATGGCTCAGTTAGCTATGTCAGGAGCTCTCATTCTCATCTATTTCATCTCTCTGTTGCTAAAAATTTGCAGGATCTTTCTTACAATGATCCCTGATCTTTTAATGCCCCTTCCAGATAGATAACAAGTTCATGATACCATACAAGATATTTCCTTTTTTTCTCCTGTTTGACAAAGAATTTTACTAAACTGAGAGAGCATCCCCACACGAGTTCGGAAAAAAATATATATAGTTTGCAAGTTCACAGGTTCACAGCTGATTTCTCTGAAATGCACCTAAATCTATGTTCTTGTTTTTTTTTCTCTCTCATTTTTTTCTTGTTTAGAAAATTCTTGTGTAAATCCTAGGAAGGGAAAGGGGCAAAAACAGTTATGTGAATGTATGCATGGTGCCGTAGAGTTTACCTTGTCATAACGTTAGTTTTTTCTTTACGCACACTGGATGTCTAATTACAGCTCCAAAATCATTTGCTGGGTATGGACTCAGCTAGGGTCCATTACTAGCTATGCACCTCGAGCCAACTGGCAAGGGAGAGAAGTCGCTTGTGCGTGAGATGCCCGGACGTGCCAGGGCTCATTCCCGACTTGTCGTAAGCCTCCGCCTGCCAGGCAATGGGGAGGCCCAGGTAACAAGCTCCTTCTGTTGAAGGCAGCTGCATTTGTTGTGAGCTCGTAGTCTTTGACAGGTTTCTGAAAAATAAAAAAAAAAGCGTCTTTGGGAATGGACAGACCATCACAAGTGTTGAAGTTACTGTGCTAAGCAGCCGAGGTGTACGACCGCGGCCTTCGTGATCAGCAGGGACTGCTGTGCAGATAGGCCTGGCGTAATTCGGTAACTACAGCTTGTTGTTCTGTCTCCTGTTGCTTATCTTGGTAGAATTATTTTTGATTCTTCAGTTTCTGGCACCTTATTTTTTTAGTATAAATTTGTGTAAATATATATATATATATATATAGACACATATACACATATATATGAACGTATTTCTTCTCTCGTAGTGACACATAAAGACAAATTGGAAAGACACGAAAAGCCTGAGAAAAAAGAAAGGCATACAGGTAATGATTTAATGTCATTCTTTATGTTACTTTTTGGGGCAGCGCTGGAACTAACCCTTTCAATTCCCCTGCATGTCAACATATGTATCCTTGAGACTGCAAAAATTGTCATAGAACTTGAAGAACAAAGTCATCAGGTGATGTAAAGGTTTGTAGAGGTGCAGAGTAGCATTCTGTATTTGTTCTGCAAGGGTTGGGTGGGAAGGCAGGAGATTTTATATTTTTCACTATGAATAAGTATTTTAATGACTCGATAGTCATTATTCCTAGGGGCATTTCCAATACTCACAGTAAATCTGGTGACTGAGTGAACATGGTCATTAAACTAATAAACCCGACAACTAGAAAAAATGTAAACAAAGATAAAGAAGCAGAGGATGTGGCAGGCCAGGGTGAAAGGGGCATTTAAATAAAATGGGTGCAGGAATACATAGGTATTAGACAAGGCAAGACTAATTCATTCACTGGTTGCTTGCATTTCACAGGTATATAACACCGTTTTATATTCAATAACTATTCCTTTCTTTTGAACCATCAACATCAGGCTTGAGGATACATAGCAATGTTCATAAACACATTTGTGTGTTCCTAGTATAACAGGCCAGAAGCAAATAGGCAGCGGGGTGTTTTTACAAGCTTGGTCACAGCAGGGTACCTCACTGGATAAAAGGACACAGTATCATCTCCACCCGCCCATGTTCAAGTTAGTGTGTAAACATTTAACCTACAAACAGTTAGAAAATCAAAATGCAAGTAAGAAAATACTCCAGACTACACTACACATCATGTAGCTGGTATTGCACAACTCATGTGTATTCTATTGTGATAAGAAACCCGGTCACAATACTGTATTTCCATTTGTTAGGTGGAAATTAAAAGCAAACAAAAAACCCAAAGGGCATTAGTTATAACACCATTGCAATTATACTCGTAATTAATTAGAGTGTTTAATCATTCCTAGATGGTAAAACTGTTATTTGTTATGGTGTTCAGAAAATCCTTTTGAAATAAACCAAAATAATAAACAAGAAAAAAACAAATATACCAATAAACCAAAGTAAACCAATAAAGAAAGCTAATAAACAACACAAATAACTAAGATTCTTCCTGATTAACATCTTTCATGGCATTATTGTCGTGTAAGAAATACCATTCTTCAGAAGAAATAGACCTTTGAGATGCTATGTAAATTTTTAAAGTTCTAAACATATATTTTGACATCTTGAGTGGTTTCAATGATTTGTCCAGATACCCTCAACCCATTATATGGATGCCATTAAGCTGTCTCGATAGGCCAAATGCAAAAATCCTACAATTACTGTTTGCATTGACAGTTGAATGTAGTAAAATATTTCTTGTTATTTTATTAAGAGAAAATATTCCTCTTGCCCCTCCAAATGTTTCTCATAAACATGCTACTATTTTTTTTTTTAAAAAAGAAAATTTTCTTGAAAAAAATGAGCAGGAAGCTCTGCTGGACTGTTATTTAACTTTCTCTATATGTGGCTTGCCGCATCCTTCCTGTACTGTTTGGTTTTATGGATCTGCAGGTTTTAAAAATCTAATGCGCCATTAAGCATGTCTTCAAGTGCTGCTCGCAAAAGAGCTACTAAATGAAATAATTTTAATAAACAGAGCTTATCAAGAGGAAACAAGCCTCCTCAGCAGTGAAGTTAGCAAATAAAAGAATCACATTTTAGGACAGCATCATTTATTAAAGCAAAACACGTTTACAGTTGATCTCAATTCTTTCTTCTTCTTCATATGTATTATATATATATGTGTGTGTGTATACATACATGTTTACCCACCTTTTTCAACTTGAAAGAGACTTTTTAGAGCCGGGAGAAAAAAATCAGTCAATCTCTTTTGAGGCAAGGTAAAGGAAAGGACATTTTATTGCAGGATGGTAATGAAAGATTTCTGGAAGGATTTTCTTGAACAAAGGCCACTTCTGAATAACCCAATGTCCTTGTGGATAAATTTGGGAAGCTGGACTTGAGTAGTCATCTCTGAGACAGGAGACAGCCCAAGATTCAAGTCTCCCTGTTAGAGCAAACACATGGAGCAGATAGACACAGGGCCTGGCAGTTTAGATGGTAGATTTTCTTCCACAGGCTGTTCTTCTGCAATTCAAATGACTGACAGGTTAGGATGCAGCTATCCAAAAATCCTGGGCACAATTACACTGGGAGAAACACTAAGACGTCATACACGCAGACTGTCAGATGCAGAAGATGCCTGTTCCTCAAAAGCAATTGCATGTGGCCCACATTGCATTCTGACCACTTGCTTCAGTGGTCAGAAAGGCGTCACTCCTCAAGCAAGGTGTTCTCTTTGTTCCCATATATCAATGATTTCACTTCTAACTCTATCTTACTTTATTGTGAGAAGAGCACAATTTTCAGCTCTGATATTCATCTGGCACAGGAATGACATGTCAAGGCTTTCTGATGTCTGCATTGCAGCAAAGATCCTCGCAATAACAACAATATGTAACTTTCCTACTGAGTAGAGACCTGAATAAGCCACACAAATGCACAATTAAACTATAAATATTACGAAAATGAGGGTGCTAAATACAGGGACAATCACAGAAGCCACTAAAGAAAGCTTTCTATTTCTTTGCACAGCCAGGCATATGTTTTATTATTTTCTTTCCTCTCTTTTTTCTCATTTAATCCACATCATTTCTCTCTTTTAATAATCACAATATTGTTGTCACTTATTTCTAGTTACACACAAAGAGAAACCTGAAAAGCTAGAAAAACCTGAAAAGAAATCATCTTCTAAAGGTAATTCTGACTATTATTAGATGTTAGATTGTTATGTTTTTTTCATTTTGGGAGAATGGGGAGATGAGTATTTAAAGTATATAGTTCTCTTGTTTATTCTGTATATATTTTAGTCCCCCTCACTTTAGGTTGAGCAGGTCTTAATCAGATCCTGACTGAAATCTTGCACTGTACATATTTCTTGCTTAGTTCACTTGTTTCGATGAGCAGAGGTAGTTAGGAACCATTTTTTGTGCAGCTAAAGGAATGAGCCTCTAATATGTGCATTCCTTGATTTTTCTCTTTTACAATTGGCTTCAGTAATTTGTCTGCAAAGAAACCTTTCTCTTGAGTATCAGTTTTCTGATACTGGTGCAGTCTGGTACAGACCTGAATGTTACAGTGTTTACCTTCTCCAAATCTGCGTTTTCCGTTACATCCAAAAATAGCTTTTTTTTTTTTCTTTTGCCTTTATTTTTTACAATAACCTTTTCATTTCAGTATATGATTTGTACTGTACTCGAAGTAGGCTTATTTAAGATTTATATATTTGTTAATTATCACAAATGTTCTGAAGCAATATCATGTCTGAGAGGTTGGTGTCATTTTTCTTTTGTCTGTCAATTCCATCTTTAGCCATGAGTGGACAGGGGAGATTTAAAAATCCAGTCAGCTTGCTCTCTCATGCCATTTTTTAAGACTAACATTTATAAGTCTTATTATAATTATTAGTATATTATTACTTGGCATTTGAATGTTTTTGTGCTACTGTGCCGCAGCTTTCTTTTTTCTTTTTCTTTTTTTTTTTCTCCCTTATATGCTTTGGTTTTTGAAAGCCAACTATTCCCATATCAAAGTTAGGTTCTAATCTTTGTCTCTTCTTACTTTTACACAAATAAGAGCTAAATCCTGAAAAAAAGAAAAAGATATATCTTAATATCAGTCTATCACTGCAGTCAAATTAAGCTGCTGCAGCTGCTGACAAACATGAATTAATTAGGTTTTGTTTGAAGCTGTTCAAACAATATAAATCCAAATGTACAAATCAGACTTTTCCAAACCCAACCTTCTTCAAAGGAGAAATGTGAAAATAGAAAGTGGGAGTAAGGAGACAGAAAAAATAGAATGAAAACTTAAGTAGAAAAGGCAGCCATTGTCCAGTCAGTCTTTCAAAGAGGTATTTGTTACATTCTTTTATATTCAGCATATAACCTGAAAGCATAGAATTTTATTATTTTTTTAATGTGGAATCATGGTGAAATAAATGCCCACAGAGTCTATGTAGTCTTGAAAAACAAATACCTTGAGAGAATCTTGGAGATATTCATAAGAAGAAGCTACACTATTTATCCATTTATCTTCTGCTAGCTAAGCAAATAATCACTCAGAGCCATAGAGTATTTAATAGCAGCCATGACTCCCGCCACCAGCTAGGAAATTTTATGAAGAATTAATCTTGGCTCTTTGGCCATTTGAGTAGCTACAAGAATTTGCTGCTTCTATGACATGCAGACCTGGTCTAGAAGACCGAATTCACGAGCACACTCATCGCTTTAAGCGCTTCCTAAGGCACGTTTACGCCCACAGTGCCCTCAGCTATCTAGTGCTAGGCCAACCTCCCTTTGGTGTGAGGCCTGCTCCGAACTGGATCAGCCACCAACAGTGCTTAGGGGCCATTTCAACAGCTTATCCCTGGGAAGTGAGGACACTCAGCTCCAGGCAATCTTGGGGGGAAAGACATAGTCTAAGACCTGGAGCTATTCTTTCCCACAGCCAGGAGATTTTCTCAGTGCTCAATAAACAGTCCTGGAGTATTTCTTCTGGAGCTAAGGGCTCCAGAGACTTTAGTGATATGAATGCTATTTAAAGATGTCTTCTAATAAAAAATAAACATCTATCTAAACAATACCCTTCTAAATATCAGCTACAACTCATATAGGCAGTAATTCCAGACCGGAATTCAGTAAGACAGAACACTGCTCTTACATAGTTGTCACTTGAAAGAAATGAAATTAATTTTCAAGGCTGTTTTATTATAGCATATCCTATGTGGACATGAAGTCACTCTGGCTTGGCTCTGAACTGAGCAATGGGTTTGTGGCTGTATTTGAATGACAATGAGCCCAAACTACGAAAACCCTTTTCTTAAAGACTAATCCAGTCACATAGATTTCTGTTGGCCTGAGCACAAAGAGAACAAGCCCATGTCTGCTCAGAGCTTGAGCAGAACCAGTCTGTGTCCTAGGCAGTATAAACACTCCTCAAAAAGCCTCAGATCTGTGTCACTGGCTCCTCTTCTGGTTGGGTGATTCTCAACAGACATTATGAAGCCTTTGCTTCTTTGCATGTCTGTAAACACGAGAAAAGGAAGCAAAAATGAAAGAGGAAACATAAAGAAAGATAAAACTTGCTGTTGTGCTTTAGCAATTTTTTCTTACCCTTTTTTTTCCTCTCCTAATATATAATTGCTCTCACTTTTAGCAATTCAAAAAGAAAAAGTGGAAAGACATGAAAAAGTTGAAAAGAAAGCTCCTTCTAAAGGTATTTGTAAATTTATATTACATTATTTGCCAGAGTTTATATTAAAATGAATAAATTTTATGTGAGAATGGAATGTGTATGAAAAATCAGCTACATGACTGTAATGATGAAATAAATGTCTTTAGAATATTGAGGAGTTAGTTCTACCCATGATTGCTTTATAAACCTTGTAAAGTTTCAAAGGTGAGAATAAAAATAAATGTGCAAGCAACTGTTGCCCTGAAAAAGAAGTGTGGCTATCTGTAGGTTATCTGACATACATATTTTCATTATATGGAGTTATTGAGACCTTCCTTTAGCCAGCCACGCATCTGGCTCATTTGTGGCTTTGTTGGAAGTAGGAATTGCCCATTATAAGATCACCTGTAGAAAAGGTTTTCAAGAAACAGAATAAGTTCAGTTCATTTACATAAAATTAGTTTAGTCAGAGCAGTGGCTTAAAAATATACAAGTCCAGAGTCTTATAGAAGACATGGACTCTGTAGCATTAATTCGAGTTTTACTTCAAGAATAGAGACATTTAGACCTATGATGAGAAATAGGAAGAGACTTGTAAATATTAAACAAAGTACTTTAAAGGGTTTACATGGTTGACTTAAGGCTACTGTCAGATTTTCTGCTGAAGTGAAGTACAAACACTCACACAGTCAGCAGCCATGTCTCAGCCAAGAAAAAGCAGATGATACCAAAGAGCAGAAGATATAGGTCTGGTGCAACCAAGTTCTGCATAGCTTCATCCACTGATTTTTATAGCCTGACTATTTTGCTTGGTAATCTTCTCTCTACTGCATAGTTCATTATGAACTGACCTGTCTCAAACAAGTCTTTGAAATTGAGCAATTGATGTGGGATGAGACTCAAGGAAACAAGTCCTCTTTGGGCACAGATCCAGAAACCATGTCATAAACACAACTCCTAGAAGTATTCATGATTTAATTTGACTATTTTTATAGCTTAAAAAAGAGTTTGGATCTTTATCTCTGACATTTAAAGAATTAAATTTAGCCTGAATGTACCATATCTGCTTTTATAACGGCCAAGATTTGTCACTTTTGTTTCTACTATAAAAGCTAGTATATTGTCATTAGAAACATTTATTATTATTTAAGATAGCATATTTCTTTGTATCAGTCAAATCCTTGGTACAGGTCTGAAGACAGAATATGCTTGTACCTAATTTTCTGTTTTTGTCAGATCTGATCAAGGTGTTAATGGTGAAAAAATACTCATTAACAATAGCACAGGATATAACAAAGAGAGTATTGAGTGTTTGAAGGGAATGGAGGGGAGAACAAATGGCATTGAAAGTTTTTTCTTTATTACTTGCAGAGGAAAAGAAAGTGAAGAGCACAAAAGTGGAAGTAAAAGTTAAAAAGGAAGTGAAGGATGGAAAAGGCGAAGCAAAGATGGCTGAGAAACTCCAGCATGCAGAAACTAAAACAACAGAAGTTGGGCTAGTAAAGGCCAAACCAAAAGTTAAGGAGGAGAAAGCTCTTCAGACTGTAACTAAATCGGAAAAGAAAGGTAAACAAAACCTGCAGGAAACAGATGAAGATCTTAGAAAGGTAGTAGAAAAGAAGCAGAGAGAATGAAGTTAAAGCTGACAAGGACAAAAGTCCACCCATGAAAAGTGCAGTACAAGTAAAGTCCAGATGAATCTCAGATTGCTAAGATCTATCTAGATTAAAATAAGATTAATCTAAATAACCTAGAATATTCTGTTTTTCATGGCTAAAAATCCATTTTCAGTTTGAATCCTCCTTTACCAAGCACCAATGTCTCTTCAGATAAGACAGAATATCAATGGATTTGCACAGTGGAATTTTATAGAGTATTAATGGTAATGCTATTTTTACAAATAAGTACAAATCTAATGTTCTTTGGGGAAATATGTTTTGTTTCTACATCTGCATACTTCCTGCTTAACAATAACGAGACTAGCAGCATATGAAAGAGAATGCGTCATTTGGATTACATCAGACTCACATTTTGTATGATGTAAGGAAAATGTCTGGTGCAATTTCATGAGATTAGCTTCCAGATTTCTAATAGTAGAAAAAAATGTCCTTTCCCCCATAAAAGAAAAAAATTAAGCGCTGAAACAAGGAATCAACACCAATGCCAAATGTAGATTTAACTACACATTCCTGTATGCCAGAATCATCCCAGGTTATTCCACTCTCTAACTGCACTGAATTTTTGATTTCCCTGATTACCTTGTGCCTATTCCATGGAGTTAGGCACAATTTTGTATATGGGTGAGGGCAGCAGAATCTGTCTTTCTGTAAGAATTGCCAACCTGCAGGCACAGGATTATTCTGACATTAATAGCGGCTGCTCAGTGTTGTGTAGCCCACCTATCTGATCCTTGCAGCTGAGAGCCGCAGATAAATCGTTACGCCTGAGTATCAAAGCAGCCGTCTCTGTTCGGATGTCTGAATCTGCCCAGGCAGGTTCAGTCAGAATTTCATAGCCATCAGCTGTGGACCCCTTAAGAGTTACTAAATTAAGTTTCTAAAAATGTGAAATGAGAGATTTTGAGGCATAGTCCCCTTTCTAACAAGCTGTATTTTTAAAAAATTATTTATATTCTAGCTACTTTTAGATTTCACATGAAATACTGGAGGCTTTGAGACATAAAATCAAAGCAGAATCTTTCATTTTGATTGCTCTGACCAAGAGGAAAGTTCAGCCAACTTTTGGGCTCCTCTTGAGAGGTGCAAATCTCTCTCTGTTTCTATTTGTTCTGGTTATGTTCCAGGCACAGTGGGATCATCCCATGTTGTGTCAGAAAAGGGTCTCAAAAAGCAAGGGTCTGTAGATGAAGCAATTTACTTCCCGACAGTAAAATGCTTGAAGTGAATAGGGGTGAAAGATTATAGAAATCAATAGAGACTTTCTCTTGACTGACAAATATTAGCAAAATAATCCATCTTAAAGACAAATATTAACAGACCGCTTTGCAAGTCTGCATTAGAGTGTGACCCCAACCATGAACAGCTGGAGTGGGGAAGAAAGGAGCCTCTCCAGCTGCCTTTACCACTGGAGATGTGGCTGCACACACTTAGTGAAAGCTGCCTTTCTGCGTTCTGTCATTACTTTTGCCATTTTAATTTGCTACTGCCCAACTGGACACTCAAAGAAAAAAAAAAAAGTTCTGTATTTCCAACCTACTGGGACCAAGGTGAAGATAATTATCAAGTTGATATTGATAAGCCAAAATTTCCGGATCCTGTGGTACTTTTTTTTCTTGCTCAAGGGAGTCCTTTTTTCTGCAAAAGTGTAAAGTAAATAACAGCAATCACTTGGAGTGCTGCTATGATTTTCCTACTCTTTCATCATTCTTTAAGCAAGTTAATATTAAAAAGTATAGGTCATCTTCTGGGATAAATCAAATGAGGACCTGTAACACAGAAAGATCTACAACTAGTTTTATCAATAAGCATCTAATCCCAAACTTTGACGTGACTTATTAATATTCAGTTGAATATCTGTACTGGTATACATTTATAAGGTGAAAATGTATATGTAGTTTATTTATTTATTTTTTTAACCAGAGAATTTAAAATAAAATGAATTTTTAGCCATGAAGAGACATTTGGAAAATCATACCTATGTAAAATTCCTTAGGCTTTTCAATGGGATGTTACTATGCACCTTTTTATTTCATATACAATTCAAATGCTATTTTTGTTATCCAGAGTTTAACATTCTACTTTTTGAATATATATATATAAATTCCAATTTTTAGGGGTTGAGTTACTAAAAAATACTGTGGAGAGAAGATTAACACACACATGTATATATTTCCCTAGGAGATATTAAGAATGCAGCTTCTTCTTTAAGTTTATTCAAATTACGTTGCTATAAAGAAATAGTTCATTTTAAGGGTGGTTTGTATTCTTATGTTTAAAATGAATGGCTTATTTTACTATCAGTGAAATATTGTGAACCCTCAGAAGATGAGGGTTACGCAGAAGGCACGCTGGGCCAGGAGGCAGGCTTATGCCCTATCCCTTGATTGTCCATATGGTTTATGCTGTCTGCCATAGTTTTGCCCCATGCCATTGGGCAGTTTCCTGTACAGTGCCCAAATACCGTTCTGGCACTATTCCCAAAGGTTGGCATGGATGAAGCCAGCTTGTTTTGGCAGGAGAGGGGTAAAGACTTGTATAGGCTTTACAGACAAGACCTAGGCCCTTGAAGTTTGACCCAGGTTTTACAATAGTGACTAGAAATCCTTTACCCTTGCCACCTCAGTAACAGGCTCCTCAGTGTGGGCTCCTATGGGCAAGTAGAAACAATTGATGTCTGCCAAACTTGTAAATCCACTCTTGATTTCTGCAACCCCATGACAAACCATGGCACCTCATAGCCGCAGTTCACCAGCAAAGACCTTTCATGGCCTTCAGCATAACAGAGTGGCATGTCTATAAATGCTTCAGTATCAGCTAATACTGATGCTCTAGAAAAATATATAACAAAACAAATAATACAATGAGTGTTATATACTTGGGAAGATAATTTTGCACTTGCAAAACAATAAATGTATAAATGCAATGGTTACAAAATCTGCATAATTTTGAAGTTAGCAGAGAAAACATTACTGACTTGGTATGTGATAGGAGGTAGATGCTATGTGGAGAGAAAGATATAACTTTTGTAGCTTAGGAAGTATGGGGCAGTAGCCTAAGATGGCTGGATGAGTACGTTTGACTGCAGGTTCATTCATTTTGCTATCAACATTAACTTTCAAATCTAATGTCCCTTGGAGTTCATGGGCATGACACATTTTTGTCTAGTCACGAGTCCATATACTATGACAATTATGTTGCACTGGGTTACAACTGGTAATTTTTCTTCACCCTTCTTAGTGATAGAAATTTTGTGTGAGGTCTTCAACACCACTCAACTTTTGTAAAATCAGAGTTACAATTAGATTCACAAGCTTTAATTTATGAATATCATATTTTTATATATATATACAGATATTTTATATATATATTTGTAAAGATTAATTTCTGGAATATTATCTGTAGTGAGATGATAACAGTTGTTGGAAAGTTTTGTTGCTACAGACATGTAAGTACACACAGTTTTCTTTATTCCCATTCAGTGAATGTATGTATTGATTATACTGCTAAAAAAAAAATAATGAAATATGGTGATATAAAAGTTAACCAAATTTCTCTATCAGCTGACTGAGAAGATTTAAAATTAAGCTTCAAGGAAGTGAAAAAGACATTGGCATCTATGCCCAGGTAGCAATTTGCACAGTAGCTCTGCTGGGAGTCTGGATGTGTGCCAAAACCAAGGCTGCTCGTTGCTGGATTGGGCCACACTCTGCTCCCTGCAGATCCACAGGAGTTGGGAGCTGTCAGACTCCTGTAGATCCAAAGTCCTTAGCTAGGAAGCTTGAATAACATCTGGACATTAAAATGTCATTTTCTGAACATGTGAATTACTTTGAGGGTAGAAAAAACAAACCTCTAGGTAAACACAGCAACAGCATGCAAGAATGTGTATTTGTGCTGCAAAGCTTTGTCATTAGTGTTAAATAGAAACAAAATTTTAAATTTGTTTTCTTCATTATTCCTTTTTCCTTTTTGCTCTGTTAGATCAATATGCATTCTGTCGCTATGTGATTGACATGTTTGCGCAAGGGGATTTTTATCCAGGTACTTTCCTACATCGCTGAATTCTATTCTAATATTCTGCTGCTTTCCTGAGAGTTTCCGCTCTTTTATGCATTAAAAGTGTGTTTTGTATTGTTGAAAGATCTCACAAATGCAACAAAGGGTGTGCAAATAATTTTAATAAAGCATAAGAGCTAATGGCTGTATTATTAAAGCTTTTAATTTTCTGTCTACAAGCATGAATTAAAATTAAGGTTATGTTGCAATAGAGTCAATGAAAGGCTATAAAAACTGTTGAAGTATTCCAAGCTTTTTTTGACTGAGATGCAGGAAGAAGGTATAAAAGCTTTTTCCTCCTCCCTCCCCACCCAATAGAAAATCTTAATTGTAGAATACTTAAAGAATAGAAGCATAATTGTCGCTCTTAATATATAAAATCCCTTAGCTGATCTATCATTTTTGTGCTTTATCTTCTCTCTTTCTGCATCTCTATGCGCATCTACTCACACACACTTCATTCCTACCCAAATAAATAACTAGAGCTACTGATGATGGCTGACTCATAACATTAAGTCAATTAAATCTACCCTGACCCCAATTAATTGACATTCTTCTGAAATTGTTGTACAAATCATCTAGTAGCAGAAGAGATATTATAAAGAGGACATAATCCTAGGAATGATCAGCAATGATATTCATGAAAAAGTCAAGTATAGTATATTTAGGGAGATGCATTTTAAGCTTTGCTTAGTCTCTCTCTCTCTTTTTTTTTCCCCCCTCAAAAACTTTTGTGCTGGTTTTCATCTGAGTTGGTTGTGTTTTCCTATCTCTGCTTTGTAGTTTAGGTCCTTTCTTTAACTACCTAGGTTCAGTAAGAACTGGATAACTGTATGAGCAGAAGAAAGATTAATGATCTTCAGAATTTGAAGGGAGAGGGTTTTATGCTTCCTGTCCTCAATGTATGAAATCAGAGAGTAGTTCTCTAAGTAGTTCT